CACACACACACACACACACACACACACATATGCACAAAGTCACTTCACTCTCCCTTGGACTCTCTCTACAGCGATCACATTCCCTCTCTACATCACATCGCAAGCCAGCAATGACAGATGCTAGCCTCAAGCCCTTAACCCCTAACCCCACGCATGCCCCTATTTTTGGGGCAAAGAATGAGGGTGAGAAGCCTGAAATGGCGTCAGTTAATTTAAGCCTAAAGGGCCAGCTTGAACCATAGCGATCCGATTGTCCGAAACAAAGGCAAAGTGTTGAGCACAGTTTTTTCCGTTTTCACCTTCCTGACAGACTTGAGTGTCACGTACTCTTATTTGTCACTGTCATAAATTTGCCATTTAAAAGCACAAGAATAAACGCAGCTAATGACAGCCTTCCGGAAGGGTAGCATTGTTTTCCGAAGAAACTTTTACTTCTTTGCTTCCATATTGCGGCCACGATGAATAAAAGAAGGCATAAAATGTCCACCATGTGTACACGTCTATCACTGTGAGCACATAGCTCAGGCCTGCGCACTATGGATGATGAAATCTTATCAGGTCAGCTGTAATCGAGAGTTATTAATATTATCCAACCAACCTCCACGACTTGATGGGGTCTGTGTGTGCATGCTCGAACACTGCCTAGGGAGGAGAAGTGAGCTTGAAACTGTTGTCTGCTCGTGTTGTACTTTAAAGGCTGCAGAAAAATCGTTTGGCCTTTTTTAATTAGTCACGAAAAAATTTAGTTTATAATTTCTCTCGAGCGGGAAGTGATATCTCCAAGTTATTTTTCTTACTCATCTAACAGACTTACACATGCTGCTCGATTCATCAGGATCCATTTGCTGTTTCAGCCTGATAAATGACTGGAAAGATTAAAATAACCAACCAGTTTGTTATATCTTTGCATTTACATGCATAGAAAATTGGATCAAAATAAAAATAAAAGCACCTCTGTCTTTATATTCTATATCCGACATTAACTGCAGGGCACTTTCGGTCCCTTTGTTCTTGTCTAATTGGTTAGGTTAAATGAAAAAACCTTTTACTGGTGCCAACTTAATCACTGTAGATGGAACAAAATCAAAAACTGCTGCAAGCACAACTGAAGAAATGGTGCACTGTAACACGCAAACTTCCTGCTTAATGACTTTGTGTAGCGGTGTAGGCGCAAATTGAACTTCATTTCACAATAGTGTACAATGGGGAATTAAAGTATACCAACTGACAGCTTCTTTGCCAGTTTCCAAAGGAGCATGCTTTTAAGACATTTACCGCAAAATGTAATTGAGTCCCTGTTGCGGAAGAAGTTGCAGCATTTGTTTAAAACCACCGGGCATGCCTGAGCTCAACCACCAGCCTACACCTGAGTTTACCTTTTGTGTGAGAAGCACACTGTGCTCCTTTATTATCTAGTCCACATTTTCTCTTTGTACCAAAACATGTTGTAACATTTAAAAAAAAAAAATACAAAAATTATCTTTAATATCTAGTGAGGTGTGTGACTTTATCTCCATCTTTTCTTACTCTAGGTTCCGTCAGCTCCAGCTGGGTACAGACAGCCGGGTGGCAGAACTATCCAACCAGGCCAAGCTGCACTCTTTTGAAGCTGAGCGTGCTAATATGGTCAAGGATGAGACGGCTAAAGCCCTAGCTCAGTGTCAGCTGGAGTGTGAGAAACAGCAGAAGAAACTAGAGGTACTCAGACATAAAATGATGGGATACCCGATTACTAGTGTGTTTGTTTTGCTTTCTGCTTGAGTTAATGTTACAGGTTGTTTGAAGTTATTCGTATTAGTAATTAGTAATTAGTGCATCCTGCTGAGGTCTGTGGAGCATTCATTACAGAGAGTAGCACACAACTTAAAAATTCTCTCAATCTTCTTATTTAATTCAAGATTACCTTAGGCTGATTGTCACCTTGAACACTTCTTTGATAATAAAGTTGGTGCTTCTAGTCTACTCCTAATTATCAGTCAGTCAAAAATGATCTGTTTGGCACAGACGGGAGAAACGTTGCCCACAAACATACGATGTTATTATTACAACCGAATATGCACAACTGAAGCCTAAAATCAAGTCCGTCCATAGTACTTAAAAATTAACACGGCTATCCGTCTTCATAAATCGCCCCAGTGGCTTCATTTTTATTTGTGTCCAATGAATCAAGCGTACTTATGAAAGAAGTACACTAAGTGCAATTAGTCCTTGATGTCTGGATGCACCTCTCATCACATCACGTGTTCATAAAAGGAGAAAAATGCTTAATATATATATATTTTTTTAAATTAACGCTGTGATTGCAAGGCTTGCTTTATGTCTCCGTCTGATCTTTCTTTTCTCCTGATCTATTTTTCGAGTAAATGTTGAAAAATAATAAAAGAAAAATGGTAAAAGGAAACAATTTCTAATAAGTTAATCCAAAAACAAAGTTTATGTAATCATGTATGTAATGGGAACAAAAGTATACCCTACGTCTCAAGATATTACTCCATTATCCATCATTTGATTACGATGGTGGAACATTCATTCTGATTAAAAGTCCGTGTAATGCTGTAGTTCACCGTTGATTAAATCAAATGGGAAAAATCAGTTTAAAATTTTCATTATCCCTTTAAGGTATTTATCAGTGCTGTAATTACGCCGTCTTCTCTTTTTAGTTAATTACTATCTAGCCATTATCTTATTTATCTTGTCATTATCTTATAAGCTGTATTATGCATGTGTTTCATTATGCATCTGCACATGAACTGAGGAATGGTGGAGAGACACACTCAGAGGGGTATGTAAGTGAAGGAACTCTATGTTTAATCTGAACGATAACAATATTGACCTGTGGCTTCAGTATATAAATAATGTTTAGGTACTTCTCCACAACTTCCCAGAAAAGTGTACTGTGATTATAAAGACAAGCGTCAAATAGTTCCTAGCTTCCTCTTTTTGCATTGGACATTGCATCTTTGTCACACTTACATGTTTCAGATCCTCAAACAAATTTTCTTTTAAACAAACATAACCCAAGTAAATACAAAATGTAGTTTTTAAATTATGATTTTATTTAGTCGGGGGGGAAAGAGTTAAACGTACCTGGCCCTATCTGAAAAAATTATTGTCCTGCCTTTTTAAGTTGCTAATTAACTGTGAGAAAATTAACCACATTTATTTTGGAAAGCTAAGTTTAATTTCACTAGCCACACCCAGGCCTGATTCCTGCCAGATCTCTTGAATCAAGAAATCACATGCCACCATCTAAAAAAGCTCAAGAAGAGATGAGAAACAATGTCATTGTCATCTTTCAGTCTGTAAAAGATTTAAAAAGCAATTTCCAAGGCAAGGCTTTGGAACTTCAGTGAACCATGGTGAGATCTATTAATTACAAACAGAGAACCTTCCCAGGAGTGGCCGTCCTACCAAATACTCTAAGAGTGCATCAATGACTCATCCAGGAGGACACAAAAGAACTGCGGACCTCATGTGTCTCAGTTAGGGTCAGCGTTCGTGATTCAACAGTAAGAAAGAGACTGGGAAAAATGGCCATGGGAGACTTCCGAGGAGAAAACTACTGTCGACCAAAAAGAACACAAAGGCTCATTTCATATTTGCCTAAAAACATCTTGATGAGCTGTTGATGAAGACTTTTAGGAAAATTCTATGGACTTATGAGGGAAAACTTTCTGGAAGATTTGTGTCTCATAACACAAGTAACACAGCATTTCATAAAAGGAACATCATACAAACCGTGAAACGTGGAGCGGGTGGTGGTGGTGGTGTAGTGTGATGGCCAACTGGTGGAACCGCGAAGCTCTCTACCGCCTCTGAATGGCTACAAAACAAAGCAAAATGAAGGTTTTTGGAGTGACCGAGTCAAAAGCCCACATTTAAATCCAATTAAGATGCCTTGGAATGACCTTAAGCAGGCCATTCATGCATGAAAACCCACCTGTTTGGCTGAATTAAAATTTCTGAAAGTGTGGGCCAAAATTCCTGCACAGCAACGTGTAAGACTATTTCCAAGTTACTGCAATTCTTGCTTCCAAGAAAGGCACAGCCAGTTATTAGGTTAGGTTTAGATAGCTGTTTTCCTGTAACAAATGACATTAAAACCTGGCTGTCTTTTTCAAATACTAAAATTTGTTTCATAGTCTGAAACATGTAAGTGTGTCAAATATGTAAATGTACTTGTTCCCTACAAGCCTGTTGTTACGATGAATTTCTGCCTGCAACCATATATGAAACCTACAAGTAAAATATGGGCTCAATTGTGCAGCAAACTGTCTGTGTGGTAGTATGAGCATCAAACTGAGTTTGGTAAAACAGCATAGGCAAGAAGCAAAATAAGCAAAAAAGCACTCATCCAATTCCGGAAATTCTTACCCCTCAGCTGTAAAAGTTTGATGGGGTATTGTCGTAACCTTGCTGGCTGGGCGGGCGGTTTAGACACTCAAGTTAACTTAGAAACGAGGTGACTTCTCATCTCAATGAACTTGAACTCAGGGTCAAGATCAGAGGTCAACCTTTTGGAAAATCGCCTCAAATTTATACGATAGGTGTCTCTACTAGGAGGCTGAGGCATAGCATTTTACATTTATATAAACTTGGCAGTATCAAAAGATTTCAAAGCCTTGTGTGTGTCCAGGGTTACCTTAACATTTATTAACCATTTTATCTTTATATAGCGAAAGGTTTTTTGCTACTATGTTAGTTTGGGGTGGTGGGGAAAAATAAATAAATCAATAAAAAGTATTGGGATATTTTGCATGGTGATTTTTGTAGCTATACAGAGAGACCAAATATCAATATTATATAAAATTATTTTAAATACTCTGGGAATTCTAGAAGCAAGAGGGCTCATATCATGAGTTTTAATGCTGAGATTAGAATTTATATTAAATCGCCTCCATCAAAAAAACATCCCACACTGGGATAGCTTGACATGGCAATGTTGCCATCAGTGCGAATGACTCTCTGTCAGTAAGCACGACACATGGGGACTCGAGTCAACTCTTGTGGCAGTTGCACAGGTCATACGCAGCAGGTTTATGACAGGATTTACTGATAGCGTTGGCATGTTTGACAACCTCATTTTACAGCAAAACATAACTGAAGTGAGATAACTTTTATCATTTTGGAAAAAGCTGATCTTGATAAACTATAACTCTGCGGACATAATTTGGAAACAAAGGTGTTAAAGTGCAACTAAGAACAATAGTTTTGAACATTATTGTCTGTCTCTCTGTCTCTCCTCCTGCTGCTAAGCTCCTCACTCAGGAGTTTTACAGGCTACAAACTTCCTCAGAGAGGCGGGTAGCAGAGCTGCAGACTCAGAACGCTGAGCAGGCGTCTCGCCTGGAAACGTATGAAAAGCTCGAGCAAGAGCTGGACCAGGTCACCATGCAAGCCGCCGAAAGTAAGAGTATAGCATTAGCTCTGTGGAAACAGCTACTTTAAACACATATCTGTGAAATCAGACAGACAAAATCAAACAAATGCACTCAACTGGAACCTAACATTGGAAAATGTGTGTAATACAAATTACATAATAATCTTATTTGGGTAAGATGGGAGATTGACATAGAAAGATGGCAAAAAAATCTTAATACAGTTTTATCTTTTGATCTTTTTAAATGCCTGAGCTTAGCAGGAAAAGAAACCAAACCACATGTTTGTACCTGTTTATCTTAACAGCCCCGCAGACATACTCTAATTCCAGTTGTACCATTATCTCTTGCCAGTTGAGAGTGAAGAAGAAGCAGAGAGGGTTTTGTTCTCATATGGCTATGGGGCAAATGTTCCTACAACGGCCAAAAGAAGACTAAAACAGAGGTATAGTACATGAAGCACTTCACTGCATTTCAAGCAAAGGATGCAACAAAAATGTTGGTCTTTTAAGGTTTTGCATCCTGCATAAGATTTGCAAAACATATTTTGAGTGTTTAAAGAAATGCATCATTTATATTGTCATATATTCTTTTCCTTTGTATTTGATTTTGAATTTTGCCCTTTATGTTGCAATAATGGTAAACAATTTGCTGTGTATGCGTTAAATGTGACACATATCGTGCATCTTTGCGGCTTTCTTCTTTGGCGGTCATCTACACGGTGTCTTTTGCTTTGTGAACTAAACAGTTGTTTAACAGTAACTCCTTAGAAATACCAAGCTAGAACATCTGGGCATGTTTCCACTTAAAGTCTTTTATTTGATTTTTATCTCCAGCATGTGCAGCCAAAAGGCTAAATTAATCTCATTGCCTAGCAGCAGACTCTAGAAGATGCATTGTGTAAATACACACTAGTGTAATCTTGTTGATTGAAATTCCCATAACTTTATGTGGCTGTTGTGCAGCGTTCACTTGGCCCGCAGGGTGCTGCAGCTCGAGAGGCAGAATACATCACTGAGGAGAGATTTAGAAAGTCACAAGTCGCAGACGGGGCAGATATCCGAAGAGGTAAACACCTGAAACAATATCAAATTCCCCGGAGAACGTCATTACTATGAGAGTGGTACTTGTTAATTTCTAAGGAAAACAAACTTGAAACAACAACAACAAACTTCAAGTCAGTATCTGCAAACACTTGTTTTTCCGCCTTGACAAAACTCCTACAGCGACTCTGCTTAAATTTATTCCACTTTTTCTGTCAAAGTCACAATGATTTGCATATTCCCTCTTATTTTCCCCTTGTAACAAAAGAAAGTCATTACAAAGCCCAACCTTGATGGCTCCTCTCTCATCTCTATTTACCTCCTCACATTGTCACGACTGTGGTATAATCACTTCTCTCTGAAAGGCTGCCATTGGAGCCGTGACATTAGGTCACATCTTGAAGAATGGAAAAAATGATTTTAGCAGAGTGTGCGTGTGGGCAGTACTAAGCCAAAGTTTTAGGTACTTCACAAGGGTAAACATGACAGTGACCACAAATATATCCATAACGGTGAATCCTGATCTCAACGGCGCTGAATTTGCGTAAAGAGAAAGAAGCACCTGCCACAGGTTAAGTCCTCAGAAGGGGCGTGGCGAGTTTTCCTGGAAGACGTGCCAGATGTCTTTAAAAAATATGCACAAGTGAGCTTAGGAGGATTTTTATTTTTATTTTCTTCTTAACTACTGCGTAGTTGTGTAAGACTTTATTTGTGGTGTTATTTATTTCATATAATCCTCAGGGCCAAACTTTTGCACAGTAGTGAGTATCATCCAACCCACTTAGGGACACATTGTGATGGTCCCCTGCTTTTTTTCTGAATCTTCTGTCAACATTTAACAATGAAATTGTCAGATTCCACGTTTGAAGTCAAATGACGAAAATGGCAGGTTGTTTAAAAACAAACAGCATGCATTGCAGACTTTGTATGAGAAGAATGGGAAGTTAGTCATAATACCTGTCAAACGTTGTTGATACAGCGGGAAAGTATTGCCAAAAACCATGACAGCCATTGAGCTTTTGTTGCGTTTGGCAGACTGTGTATGAGTGTGCAACACTGAAGCTTAAAGTTTGGGTGTGTGAATTCTCTCTGTATACAAATGTGTATGTAAAGTCACGTGTCTGCCACTCGTGCACTAATGCGAAATTTTATCCAGAAAGATTTGTAATTATAAGCCTGATAGCTCTGTCAGCCAAATGTGCTTGTGTTTTCCTTTCTTTTCTTCTTCTTTCTCCTCACTCATTATTATAAACTCAATGAGAGGAGAGGTTGTGCAAGCCAGAATGGGCAGGATTTAAATAAGCCAACCATTCAACTGTCAGCTGTGATCAACTGGCATTCATCTGGAATAACTTATGATTCACTGAGTATACAAGAAAAGAAGAAGAAAAAATTATACTTCCTTTTCACTAGAAAGGCTCAGGGTGTTAACTGCTAAACCACCCACACAAATGCCCTGACTAACTAACGATTGTCCTTAGCCTCCACCCAGTTCTACTCACTATCGGCCAGCTGTAAAAGCCGTTTAATGTTTAACACCCATACTTTATCTAGTGTTCAGCAGATTTTAAGAACAATACCAACTGATGGATATGTTTTTGTTTTTTTCATAAAAAGCTTGAAGTTTAGATATGCCTTCATAAAAACTCACTTTTATGCAAGTTTCTCCTGATGAGATCAGAGATGCCATGACTGTAGATCTTGCATCATTCAGAAATATTTGCCAATGTTTTAGTTGATATTATTTTATAATATCAACTAAAACCAGTTTCTAAAGAGAATTACTTAACTGGTGTGACATTAGTTTATCAATTACTGTGCACTGTACTGAGCCACCGCTAATTTCTTTATATTTTGCTTCTAAGCTGTCAGACATTCTTGTAATATCTTTTGGGTTTTTTTTATAAATTGATTTTCACTACTAGTTTTCTGAAGGTCGTTTTTTTCTCATTTTTGTGGAAATTGGCTGCTTTTTCACTCTTTTTCCATCAAGTCATCGTACCTGACCATTTCCAGGGGAATGTATTTGTTTAAGCCACTTAACACTGACCTATGAATCATTCAAGCATAATAACGGCTACTAACTTAAGGAATGAGGTAGTGTTGTGTCTACACATAGCAACTTTGCAAAGAACCTGTTTTAAATTGCATCTTTGAGCACTTTGTTACTAGCCGTGTGTTGTGAAAAACACATTTTTCTCATTTCTTTATTTGAATCTTTGAAAAAATGCCGGAGATAACAGTTTGACAGACCCATGAAAAATTTACACAAGTCAAACGAAACATTACATAGGTGAAGTAATTGCTCTCTAACTACTCAGGTTAACACATACTTTGTTTTTTCCACAGTTGTTGGCCGCCAACCAGCTGTTACAGCAGACGCAGCAACCTTATAGTTACTTGATTGAGACGGTGAGACAAAAGGATGCACAGATCAGCATACTGAAGGAGCGTGTCACCTCACTTGAGGGCGATGTCAGGTATACATGCTGCATACTACATTAAAAAAAACAAACAGTCATTCACGACCTTTTCAACTGAAGGTTGTTCAGCCTTCTCTCCTTCTTGGAAAGCGTCCTTTGCTAATTTGTTTGGTTAAACTTTGCATCTTGTAAATCACTTGATACAATGGGGAGCCCATATCTCCCCACCCTTGGTTTATCTCTTCCTTATCATTATCTCCCAGTCTCATCTTTTGTCCCTTTCACACCTAGCCCATTACGTCTGTGCAAACCTGCATGCGTGCATGTAAGTCCCCACATGCGTGCATTTGCAGGTTCCTGGCAATGACCTAAATTGCTGTTGTGCCCTCTCTATTTTAGCCTGTCAAAAATGCAAATTGACAGGCCGCAGGTTTTCTCTTGCTGTGCGCTACCACGGAGTGCTCACCAGGTGCAGGAACAAGAAGGGTTAAAAAAAAAAAAGGTTAAGAAAAATGCTGTCAGACTTTCCCTGTCGGAAACATTTAAGTTTTCTCTGTGGGTCTGCAAGGTTAACCTGTTTGGCTGCAGATGCACAGCTCAGGAGAATTTTACGTGATGCACTGAAGTCCTGTTGCTTTTATCTGTATGAATGTGTGCAGGGGTTTTTTTTAGTAGTATTAACAGTTTGCTGATATTCCAAATTCTCCGACCTGAAATTGGCTTATCTCTGCTTATGAGACGTTTAAATCTTGCGAACAGTGGGGACGCTATCTGTTATTTGAAGATTTGCATGGTGATTTGCCTTAAACCACCTCCATTACAAGCCTCTGCTTGTATGTCTCGGAGCCTCGGGAAAGAACGTTTGAACTGCACTGTAGCGAGATAGAAATACTTTTCAAAGTCATCGCTTGTGTGTTTTGAATTTGTTGCCCATTGATAATCTTATCTAGCCTGTTTGTATTCTTAGTGCTGAGAACATTCTGGCTTTTTAGACCAAATGGCAGGCATTTTGTTTATTTTTGCATACACAAATGAATGAATATTCAAATTACGATGCATACCACACCTTCACATCTGATCCTGTGTGTCCCATCCACCTGACGCTAAAGAGCAATAAAAAAAAAAACTAAAACGCACTAAATATGCTTCATGAAGGACATTAATATTACCGTTTCTGCAGTCTTTAAATATTTTTGTTCAAGACATGTTAATATTTTACTACATATACTTACTGAATAAATATTAAGTGTACTTTTTGTATTAACTAGAGATCTGATCTATCTGTCTGTGTTTGAATATGACCTCAGTTCTCTGAGGAAAGAGCGGACCGCTCTGGAACAGGTGAAAAACAACATGGCCGCTGATCTGGAGCGACTTCTCAACCATCAAGAGGTACACAAAGGGACAGTGTTGGTTACTGGCTGTGTTTTGTTTGGTGTTTATGTGGTTGTTAGCAATCAATTTGCTGAATGCTTTCTGATAATATCAAGATATAAAATATTCGTAAACTGAGTGGGTGGTACATTTATTCGAAGCTACATTGCTATTTATAGTATCAGTTGTATGGAGTTTTTGTTGGAGCTTGTTTTTCAAACCCCACACAAATAGACTCCAGGGGGCTTAATTATAAGCTGCAGTGATATTTCAATAACACATCACTGTAAACATAAAAAAGCCAGAGTATTCTCTGAAAGTAAGGTCACAAAATGAAAAGTGAGAAACCTAGAAGGAAGAAAGAAAAGAAAGACTGGTTGGTTGGTTTCTTGGTTTCAAAGTGTTGGATCAACTTCATCATCACACAACTGACGTAAACACTAAAACCCTCAAACAGGAGTCACCTCTTCCAGCTCAGCATGTTGTTTTGTTCTGAAGTGCAGACAGAAATCTGGCAATTCTGAGCTCAAATCACAAGAGTTTACTTGTAGCTAAACCAGATTGTAAAGCAGGCTGTGATTTGATTACATCATCCGCTGCAGGGATGAGACACAATTTCTTTTTTCTTTCTCCTACAAGCTCATGACTTAAACCTCAGAGTTTTTTATTTATTTTTTTTTTTTTGTGGCAATGTATGATTTAAAAAACTTATTGATTTAAAACGAGATTATTTATTGTTTTGTTATAGTACTTCCCAGTTTGCATGAATTTAATGACTAATGATTGCAGATCTAGTTTTCGGTGATGAGGTTTTGCAGCTGTGTTAGCTGCGACATCCACTGTATTGCCTGAGTGTATCTTGCTCCAGGTGGGTACCGTACCTGTTAACCCATGCTTCAGTGGAACAACACATATAAAGATTTATATCTCTCTTTAATTATGGCCCCAACAGTCTTTAGTAAATATTTAGGAATTTTCCTTTATAATATCCTAGAGCTCAAGTCTTCTTTAAATAAATAAATAAATGAACACAAACCTAATTATAATTTAATCAGATAATTCACACATTTTTTTTAACCTAAAAACAAAACGTTTGGTATTTTTTGTCTGAAATTTAACGGTATTAATCAATTATAAGTAATAGCTGCTGATTAATTTAATGTTGATCTTCACACCGGAGAATTTAGTGCAGCGTCTTAATGATCGTAAGCACGCGTGCGCGTACACGCAGGAGTATGTTCCCAAGCAGGCCGTTTGCTGTATGAAGTATGTGCCCTGTCATAGACAGCTGTTCCTCAGCTTGGCTATTTGGGATGCCACTAGCGTGTGTGTGTGCTCTAGTGTGTGCGTGTGTGCTCGTGCGTGTGTGCGAGATGCCAGGGCTCATGTCCTCAGAGGTGATAAATAGAACCGTGAAATGGCCGAGAGTCCCCCTCTCTGCCCTGCTGCTGTTGCTGCTGCTGCCATCCCTGCAGACCCTTAGTGCAAGTCGTCCCATCGCTGGACTGTGTTTGGTTTCTTCGACCTGAATTCTTGAAAGTAAATGTTTCACAAAACATTAATAAAGATAAAAGAGAAGAATTACATTTTTTTTTTTTTTTTGTTAAATCAAACGATTATATAGTTGAAATCTGTGGCCTTTTGGACTCTACACTCCCAGTAATTTCTCATACACTCCTTCATTTATTGTTTTACTCTTGTTTCCTCTTTTTTCTTTTATGAACTGTGCGGTTTTCCAGGAGTTGGCCATGATGAAGCAGGTCCTGATCAGCATGCAGTCCAGACAGGCAGACGCTCTAAACCTTTTGGAAACAGATAAAACTGGTATCAGGACGTCTGGATTGGGGAAAAAGAAGCAGTCCAAAGGTATCAACAGGACAGCAGAAGAAGAATCACCAAACAAACCCAAACCCACTGTGTTTGTAAGTGACTGTTGTAGCACCACCCTTTTTATGAGTCACACCATGTGAACGTGCTTAGACACATGTTAGGACAAAGCAATAGAAATGAAAGGATGAATAGTTTTTTGTTTTTTTTTAAAAAATCATTTAGTGAAATAGAAGTTTTTCAGTGAAGTTGGCTAACTGAGGATATGTTCTAGTATGTAGCCATGAGTCATGAGAAAGTCAAATAAATGAGAGTATATTAACAAATCTCTTTCACTTTTCATATTATTTCTTTCTCTTATTTTCATTTACAGACAAATAAAGAAGTTCCCGATTGGTACCAAAAGCAGAAGCAGAAATCCAAGTGACCGTTTGTGTCATGACTGGAGCTCAGGACTTTTGTTTTGTTTTTAACTTTTAGGTTTTGTCTAGACTTTTGTAAGTTACAGTTCATTTCATTGCTTGATTGCTTTTCAAATACAAAGGCACAAACAGTTTGAACTGTCTAAGCGTTTTGTTTTTCTCATCCTTTGTTAAATATTGTTCATGGGATAAATTATCTGTGTGCTGGTCCAGAGATATTACCTTCCACAGGGTACACATTCCAAGCTAACTGAAGGCCCAAAAATTCCTCTTTTTTGGCAGTGGCCTGTTTTATTAGGTCTGTCTATCATTATTTTCTCATCTTTTCCAAGTTTGCAGATACTGCTCGCTACAAACAACACTGCAGGAACCTTAGCCTTTGATTTGCACAAGCTGAGGTTCCTTAAATAGAGACATAGTAGACATAGCTTTATTATTTCTGACCATGTTCTTATCGGTGTCATATTAAATTTGGGCGGGCGGCTAATGCGAAACTGGTTTGTCCCTTTTCAGGAGTTTTGTTATCCTACATGTGATGTTAAAACTCCCATAAGAAGTAGTAATAGATCTGTGGAAAAGGTTTCATAAGCCTCAAGAGTAGAAAGGCTACAATACACTCAACTAAGAAAATATCAGAAAATCAGCTTTGGAAGAGAAAATGTCAGCCAGATGAACTTGAGATTAACCTTGATGGGTGTGAGGTAGGGTGGGGAAAGAATGAAAGGAGAAGGTTTGGACTGGATGTTAACCCGGCAAATACATTATCCTCAATACACAGTGGAGACGAGTGATGGCATGGGTAGGCATAGCTTCTCAGTTCACTAAGGTAGTAGTGATCATTGATAATGCAACAGAAACAGCTGGATTAATCGTGAAGTATATGGTTTTTGCTGATATTCAGCTAAATGCAGCTGTTGATTGGAAGCTGCTACACAGCACAGATGTTGAGGGAGCCAAAGCATGTTGCACAAGGCCCAGGTGATTCTGAATAAAGAGTAAAGAAATGGGATATTCAGTAGTGGCCGTGTAAATCTTCTAATCTCACCCTGATTGAGCATCAAGTTTTGAAGGCGAAAGGCAGAAAGACTCAAGAGCAAACCATAATTGATGGCAGCTGCAGTGAAGCATTTGCTTTACTGCATTTGGTTAAATCCATGGATTTCAGACTGTCATTGTTTTGGTAAAGGGTTCTTAACAAAGTACTGCAACTGAACATTATACTCTATAATTATTCCTCTAATTTGTCCAATTACACTTGGGTAGATAAAGATGGCTCATATATTTTTTGCGTTCAGCCCTCTGGATTACAGATGAAATAATAATAATATTGCTCTCCAAATACTTTTGGCGGGTCTCAGGTTCTATTATTGTGACTGTTTGGTAATTTACTAATTTGATGGGTTATAGGAATCAAATAAACCCACAATATTTTAATAATAGTTTGATGACAACACAAATATTTCCTGTAACAGATGGTCTCATTTTACTCAAGTACAGTTTTAAAATACTTTCAAGTATTTCCATTGAATTCCACTTTATTCTTCTGCTCTGTCCAATAGTTTCCTTGATTCCTTACTAGACTAACCATTAATGCAACATCGAAACAGTTTATAGATTGACAACGCATTAGACAAGAGTCCACACCTGTAACCACACCTGTACCTGCTGTAACTATATTAAGTAACACGCGTGTGTCATATGCAGTCATGTGCATCATACCCACTATTTGACCAATTTCGCAGTGCCTTTCCACGTTTTATCTGTTTTTATCATCTCAAAACACTTTACAAAAACTCTCTTGGCTGCGATGAGTTTAACTTTCACCACTTTAATGCGGTTTGACCGGTCTCGTGGACTTTTTTTACGGCGCTGTTGTCGGTGTGTATGGATGGCAAACGTAGGGCGGTGGCCGGTGAATGAATGATCAAAGCGTTTTTAAAGGTTTGGTGGGCGGTGCGCGGTCTGTATTTACACTGGGGCCGCTCCGCCCTGCGAACGCCAGATAGAAAACTGTCTGTGGGCCGGAGCAGAGGGATGAAACAAGTGGAAGGAGATGTAGCCGACAGGCACACATTAATTACTCTAACGCACGCACTACACCTCGTCGGCTCCACTCCTTTCTCGGTACGCTGTAGCATCCTCCTCTTTGCATAATAACACACGGCAAGCGATCGTTTTTGCGGCGCTGCGTCGGAGCTTCATGGCCGCAACACTCACGATGAGCGGCGGCGTGCAGGAGGATCCCTTCTACCCGCTGCAGAAGGCGAGTCTGCCCGCTGGGTTCCCCTTGGAGGACTCGGCGTTGTTCGGCTTGGATTGCAAGATCACCGAAGCAGACAAGGCTGGACAAAATGATTACGCACAGGTAAACCGGTTGGAAATCAAACCGACTTTACACATTAGTGATGCATTTCACTGAATGGGCGTGGCAGTCTGGCTTTAAATCCAGCTTGTTTTTCTGTTTGCTTGTTTATTTGTTTATTTATTTGAGTCTAAATTTCAGTCGTCCCTCTCTGCGCGATCGTAACCGTCACTTTATTCAGCTCTATTTTCGGTAATAAGCGACCAGCTGAACGTGTAGTCGAGCACCTCCGCCTGCAAAACGCATTCACCGCATGTTTTCTATGCCAGCCAGCCAGTTGGTCACCAGTTGTTGGTCTCTCCTTGGCGTCCCTTCTCACCATCATACCACGCTGACAGCAACTGACTCCAGCTTCGGACAGAAACGTCCCGGCAACTCTGTCCCCAGTTAGAAAGAAACTTGTGCAACATAGCAGGGAGATCTATAACAGCTGGTAGGATCAGGACCCTCAAATAGCAGCCCATCCCCAGACTACTACTGCTGCTGCTGTTTCTGCTGCTGCTGCTGCTGCAGGGAGACATGGGTGTTTCCCCATTCCCTTTCATGTTACTGTTTCATCCTCTGGTGCTCTGCTTCTTTAACTTTTATACCGATTAGACCCCCCAGAGCCACAGGAGATGGACCAAAAAGAGCAGTACGAATGAAGCATTTTTTATGCCAAGTTGTTCACCTGTGGTGTGCAGTTTGACCGGCGATTGGCTGCTCTGTTAGGCTTGTAATAGCTGCACATGTTCAAATAAGAGGTGTTAGATCAGGTTCTTTATTGACATAACATCATTTAATCCTCAAATGTGGGCCTCACCACCGTCAGGTTTCTGAGTTCAGCCTTGCAGGCGGCGAGGGAATGTGGCAACTGCCTTTTGATGACTACTTGATAAATGCTTTAGCAGTGACTGTCCTATCAAACCTTTTGTCTTCTCATAATAGTGGTTCAGAATAGAAGCACTGAGAAGGACTTAGTGAAGTCAGGCTGTGGTACTTTTCATTCACCAAAAAGTTTTTTTTTATGTTAAGTGCTTGTTTTTGGGTTTTTTTTTCTTAAATTTTTATTTTTAATGTGTGTTTTCCCTTTTAATCTTCAGGCAAAGTGTGAGATGGACAGGTATCTCTCCCCTCAGCCTCTTCCACTTCCAAACCCTGCAGACAACCAGCAGAAGTCACTCAGAGACAGCTCGTCAGCAGTGGATCAGTTCTTCACTGACGCTGGGGCTCCCTATACCCTCAACATGAATCTTTATCTCCCTGACGTCGGCTACCTGAGGATGGGCTTGTGCCAGCAGGTGCGGTCCCCTCAACACCAGAACCACCCGAGTCTCACTCACATTAAAACAGAATCTCCCTCCTCGTGTTTTTCCTCTAACCTGCAGCCCCACTGCCCCGGCACTACGCCCACAAGTAGCTGCAGCACATCCGGCCACGGCCCTGGCAGTATGGCCATGGAAAACTCCGCCACAAACATGACATTAACTGGGTTACCAGAATTCACCAGTGTTTTCAATCAGCTGGGAGGCAGCCGCGGTGGCGATTCACTGCCAGAAGTGTATGTCAAACAGGAAATGTCACCACAGTTTGAGCAGCACGCTCTCCACCACCACCATGACAACAGCGGCTCGCTGTTTCAGCTCCTAAACTCTGGCTTGGATCATCGCCATAGCAATGGCATGGAGGCTCAGCATCATCATCACCATCAGCAGCAGCAGCAGCAACCGATCCAACACACTACCACGATGCACACACCTTTTCATGATTTGCCAGTAGCTACTTCTGCTTCTCAACAAGAGCAAACTGTCAAGCCTGCCTACCGCTGTCTAGGTGGTGGGGTATACACACATCCTCATTCTCAGGCACATCCCCAATTCCTCCAGCAGCAGGTGCCCTACCTGCCACCCTCTCCGCCAAACTCAGAGCCCGGCAGCCCTGACAGGCAGAAGGAGCTGCTCCACAACATGTCACCTCCTCCGTCGTATGCTGCCACCATCGCCTCCAAGCTTGCAGGTAGCACACCCGGACTTGGACCTGGCCCGGGACCAGGTGGCTTAGCTCTGCCCCACCCTACAGGCCCCACACCAGTCCCAGGCCCAGCCACAGTCCTTCCTCAAGCCCACACGACAACACCAACCCCAAATCCAGCACAGAACGCGGTGGCTGTCCGCTACAACCGAAGGAACAACCCCGACTTAGAGAAACGACGGATCCACCACTGTGATTACCCAGGTTAGAAGAATGACACACACACACACCACTGAATGTGCACTGTGAATGTAATCACTGTTGTGTGTTTATTTTATCACTGCATTGTAGTGAATGTTTCTGTTCATGTTTTGAATGATTTGCCTATGCCTTTGGGTCGTGAAGGCAGAGTACACTCTGTACTGCCAGCCAGACTGTTACTACCTTTCAGTAAACTATCTGGTTCAAACACTGCTTTGCATATATTAGCACACCTCAAATGACTGTGGCACTTTCAGCTATGAGCTCTTAAACAGTGTGGTGGCTTTAAAGTAATCACTGGTATGATTGTGGAATGAACCTGTTTTTGTGTGTGTGTGAGAGAGTGCACGTTTTTGTATGCAGGGGCTGTGTTAATTAAAAAGATGTTCTCCTTGAATCATTTGATCTTTTTTCCCACACACATATCTTCATACTGTTACACTTGAGATTGCATGCTGAGATTAAAGTATTTATTTTCTTTAGCTGGCACACACACACACACATACAGACTGTATGATATGTAGCTACTTGTAGGACATGTAATGTCAGCTAGCCTGTGGCGGCATGTAAAATAGGCTTAAGCAGAGCCTACCGCAGCACGTTAGCACACGTCTTACTTCTTAAAAAGCCAGATGAAGCAGATCCATCATATTCACAGAGCCACACTTCATCCAAGTGTACGTATATTAGTCACACTGTTGCAGCTGCTCACGGTTTAATCATAGCAATACATGAAATTCTATCGTTTCCTAACTTAAAGTCATAAGATATCTGACGAATATCTTTCTAAATCGTTCAAAATCCTTAATGACCTTTCTGACATTGTAGAAGCAAACTGTAGCGTGCGCAGAAGGAGAAAACAGAGGTTTTCAGGTAGCATCGTTGGTGATTCGAGGCTTGTAATCAAATGCCTTTTAATACCAAATGAGGCTATGAGGGCTGCTTTTAACAGAGCCCATTTTGTTCATTTTGGAAAGCAGCAGATGAGATAGAGCAGAGGCTCTACGAAACACACTTTACTATATTTGATTCCAAAACGGCTTCTGTTCTTCATTAGTTTGGATTTTTTGAATTCCACAGCTCAGTTTATTGGGTAAATGCATATTTGCCACGTGTGAATTACTTGGATTAAGCAGTCTGTTTGTGTTTATCTCCATGTCTGTCGTCAGGCTGCAAGAAGGTCTACACCAAGTCGTCCCATTTGAAAGCACACCTCAGGACTCACACTGGTAAGAGATTCCTCTAATTAATGCAGCTTTTTAAAAAGAGACCCATCAAAAAAAAAAAAATGACGCTGCCCACAGGACTCGTATTTCAGTATCTGCACTGGCACTATGTTGCTAGGCAGAGTGTTGTGTTCTTGGCATGTGTGTGTAAATGTATCCTAGCCCATTCCCCATCCTCTGCCCAATATACTATTCCATCAAAACAGGTGGAAGTGACACACTTCTGCCAGGGGATGACTCTCAGACTATGTGGTCAGTGCTAAACGTGTGGTGCCATGTTTTTGTTTTTTTTGTTTTTTTAAATCCCATCGCCCGTTCAGGAATTGTTCAAATGCTTTAAAGCACTTTTCCACTTTGATTCCGTTCTCTCTGCATTTCATTTTACTCCCTTTCTTCCTGTCACGTTTAGATTTGAGCTTGGATTTGGACAAGCAAAGTCAATAAACAAATGCTTAGGTGTTGGGCCCCACCTCACTCCAGCTAACAAAACAAAGCTTCTGTTGATATCTACACATTCCTCGCTCATCTGGATACACACACAAAAGCCAGAATGTGTCCTAATTATGGATCTAAACTACTTGTTCGGAACATCGTTGCGGCTGCGCGTGCTTTGCATTTTCGTATCAGGAACATGACGCGACAATTATATCTGGCCTCACTCATGCTGCAGGCTGATTGTGGTGATTGCACTTATTACAGACCACAAGATGAGAACTCGACACGTAAATGTTATCTAGCAGCAACTACATGTTCTTTATGCCTCTGTCGGCCATGCTTGGTTATTTTCTCCCCCCCCCCCTTTTTTTTTTCCCTATCCAATCCTGTTCTCCTCTGTTTTTGTGCTCTCATACTTTCATCTTCAACCCTGCCCTCCTCCTTTACTCCTATCTTTGTCTATAACTCGTTCTCCTTCTCTTATTCAGCTGCTCGAATGCACACTTATGTACTCGTACACACACGTGCACACCCACACACGGACACTTCCACACACACCTGTCAGTAATCTCTATGAGATGATTCCTAATGCGTTTGGGTCCCACTGGGAGTTCCCACTCTAATCTCCATCAACATCCATTACCCTGATTGTTAGTGTGTCTGTGTGTGTGCATGTGTGGGTGGGTGTATTGTGAGAAATATCCTCTTTCTGTATTGGAAATCATTTCTGATTTTTTTTCCCCCCCCTTAAACAGCGCCTTCTCATGGTCTTTCTTCCTTGTGTTCGGTTTAAGGTGTGTGTCTTTAAGTTTGGTGACACTGTGGTTCTAACAGGTTTACTCTGGGTTTTTCTTTTTTTTAAAGCAATGCTGCAGAACTTGATGTGCTTGTTTGAAGAGTTGGTCACCTAAATAACAAAAGGGGAAAAAAAAAAAAAATCTTGGGTGTCCCCAGCGGCGTTTATCATGCGGAAATAGTTCTGTTTTTATTTGTCCAGATTATAAAACAAGCCATCTCTGTGATTTATGCTGCCACTTCAGTTTAATGGAAGTTAATGGGATTATGTTTATAGCGCAAAGAGCTTTGAAAAATGATTCTCAAATAGTTGTTTTTTTTCCACTATCATCATTATTATTATTATTATTAACTTCAGCCTTGGTGGCCTGAATAAGCCACAGAAAAGGATCAAAAAATTTTCACTGTTTTCTCATTATAATGGAATGGGGGGTATTTAGAGTAATGGGGACACTGATTCTGGACTCTGTTTTTGATATGTAAATAGAGGTTAAAGGCAATGTGGAAGAAGGAAAACAACCACACAGCTTGATTTATTCCATTTGATTTTGCACCACAGTGGCTCATATTCATGAATCTTAAAAAGCCAAAAAATGTGTTTGCTGAAATGAGATGCTATTCCACCTAACCTTCAAAATCTGGATGAAAGGGTACAAAAAGAAGGAAAAGGGAGGAATCTAGCTAAGCAAAAATCAAGTTCCTTCCAATCCTTTCATATTTCTTAAGCATCCACTGTTATCAGACGCACGCTAAGTACAAAGAAGCAGTAGATGCGTCAACATGTACAAGTTATAATTCTAAGTGTTTTCTGTTCTGGTCTTTTGCATGTGCTGTAGTTACTGTAGGTTTGTCAGGTTGAATTTAAGTTGCAGAAAAATGAATTATACTTGCATACTAAATATTTAGCAAGTGCTAAACCTCTTTACATTTAGTAGACCTGAGTATACACTGGTCAACTTGTGGGCCTAAGACAAAACTCTCCCAGAGGGACAACGAGCAGAGCAGACTGGTTTTTCAGAAAGTGCCTGAAGCTGCAGGTGAATTTTGCTGGAATGACTGACAGAAAGACATACGTGCTGCAGTCATTAAAGAAAATACCTGGAGGGAAAAGTTGACAATACAGACCAGGCACTGTGGGAAAATTGTGAAGCACTGGTTGCTGCATTGGCGTGTGAGTGCTTGATGAATGCTTTTGAGTGACAGTGTTTTGACTGTATATCTAGTTAGACAACTGGCGTTTTCGGTGAAGCCAGTTTTCCCAGTTCCTCCACCCAACTGTATGAATCACTTTAGTCAGAGAATTGGCTTGTGTCACAATAATTGTTGTTCTTAGTACCTGAATATTGACAGTCCTGCTCTGGTTCGTATCATGTGATCAAGCGATAGCTCAGAATAGATCACCAAACGGCATGGCGGTTTGCACTCACTCCAACTCTTTCTCCTGTCCTGCAGGCGAGAAGCCGTACAGGTGTACGTGGGACAGCTGCGACTGGCGTTTTGCTCGTTCGGATGAGCTGACGCGTCACTACAGGAAACACACGGGCGCCAAACCCTTCCAGTGTGGCGTCTGCTCACGCTCCTTCTCCCGATCGGATCACCTTGCCCTGCACATGAAGAGACACCAGAACTAGCAACGTTTTGCACACATGCTCAAACATACAAGCATCTTGACAAAACATAAAGCATTCACTCCGTGTCCCGCAGCTACATGAGCTGCCTGATGCAGAGTGACTTTCAATGACATCACAGCTCTTTCTGGTGCTGCTGTCGTGGGCTAAAACACTTCAATAGCCTAACAAACAGGTTGCTCTTAACGCCAAGTGGAACAATTTGGAGGTTTTAAAGTAGGAAGATGGTGGCCAGATGATCTTCTGGTCCCTTAACCACCAGATACACATATTATAGATGTGTTTGGGCAAATGAAAAGATGAGATGGGGTGTGACTGGAATGAATTAAAACAGCATCTTTTTTTGTCTTTATTGTAACATAGAACTGGCTTAATTTTCTTTTATAAAAGAGAAGCTTTTGTTCGCAAAACTAGTCAAGCCAAATCTTTGTTTACTCATTGATTTGTTAGTTTCTCTCTAGAACTGGAATGTCCAGGTTTGTATTCTTTACCAAATCCTTAGATTTGCACTAGAATTGGTAATCTAAGCCTCAGCCTTTTTGGCCCAAGTATCTCATTCACCACTGGAACGATCATTATCACTACTGGACTACATCTCTGTGTGCACCACACAAATCATTGCTGTTCAGATATTAAAAATTGAAGGCATTTGTACTCTGGAGAGAGGGAAGAGAGAGCAGGGAAAAAGTGAGAGTGTGGGGGTGGAGATGGAGATGGAGAGAAAGACCGAGAGGGAGAAATTTTTGATTTTAGAGAGAGGAGATTGGAAGACGATTGAGAAACAGAGGGAGGTGGATGGATGCTAAAGAGCAGCAATTAGATGATGAATTATTCAGGTCGTCTTTTGATGGATTTCCAACCAGAGAAATGTAAGCAGAACCCATAGACGTGTTCTAGGACTCATTCAGTTAATACAGAATCGACAGTATTTGATGCACAAACTTGAATGTGCACTGAAGTGTCTTCAAAATGCAGCATGCTATTAGTGTAGATCAGTCTCACCCAGCGTTTTACTTCTGTTAATTGTTTTAACCAAAGCATCATGTCCAACACATCGCCAACACCTTATTAAGTGCCTCTTTCTCTCATTTATGTGTTTTTGTTCTCTAGTAGCAGAGCTGTGATGAGTGTAGTCAATCATTTTAAAAACATGGTGCTTTTTAAGAAAAGAAAAACTAAATCTGTTAAATCTCTAGGTTTAGCTTTGAAAAGGTAAATCTCTTGAATTATATGGTAGCCACCCTTGTGGTAATGTAACAGCACAGATCTGGCCACTTCGCGGACATCCTGGGATGCTCTGGCTCTACGGAGCTATCTTGGCTCTAACTACTCATGGACACGTTTTGTTAAAGGACGGGTTCACTTTGTTTTTTTTGTTTTTTAAAATTTATTATTAACTTGTTGAAACTTTGGTTCAGCTTCTAAAGTTGAAGATTAGTTTCTTTTCCCCCCACAGAATATTGAATTTGCCCAATTGCTTGCATTGAAATCGCTCCCCAAAGGGATCTCGTCAATCACCAACTCTTTTAATGTACATATGGATATGGAGTATTGTTTAAAACAAAAAAAAAGCATAACAAAAAAGTGTGAACCTATCCTTTAATGTACGCCTGAATGTCCATTTGATGGGGAGATTTAGCCTGCACTTATAACTGTATTTGTTCATTCACTGCAGGTAGCATATCGATAATATAGCACTGTAATGTATAATGGTAAATCTGACTATTTATTTGATTGTGTAGAAGCAGGGGTTGTATCTGATCAACCGTCTTTTTTTTCCCCAGCAAAAATGCCTTAATGTAAATATATGCACTGTAAATACATTTTTTTTGTTCGTTTTCCTCTTTTGTTATTTTTTTGTAAACAACAGGGCAAACAGAGGAAAAATGCCCCGCATCCAAAAATATTTGAGCCTTTTTTCTTTGTTTTTTTCTTCTTGTCAAACCTATTTTGATGCCATTGTTTTATATATTGTCCTTCCAGCAACTTATTTTATAGATGCTTTTTTTTTTTTCTTCCATGGTTAAACGTTCCAAAGACAAAAGTTGTTTTTCTTCAACTGAGTGAAGCTGATGCTAATAAAGTCAACTGACACTTTTACAGATGTGCTTGTTGTGCTGAAGTTAATGGGAATATTTCTTCTTTCTTCTTGCTAACAACATGCTGCAGTGGTGGAGTTGGTAATCTGTCTGTGAGCTTCGTATAAAATCGAATCCGTTGCAGTACAAATAGAAAGTCAGGTACCTGTGGGACAATAAACATGCCTGACCAAACAAGACATAACCACGCTTAATCTTTTATAATCTTAACATTTCTGTGGAAGTGCTGATCCTTTGTTTCTTGGCTTTTCTGCGGTAGGGCCAGCATACTTAAAAAGTAAAAATAGAAGGAGATAAGAAGGGAAGATGTGGAAGAAAGGCAAAGCACTTTTGTCCAGGACCTGCAAGTAACCTGAGGAACCCTTGCTGATCAACAAACAATAGTCCTTTGATATCCCAGCAAGAGACAATGGACAAGAAAATAAATCTGACCACCACTCAAGGACCGTAGGGGAATCCCACTGTACTGAAATGGATGTTCAAACACGCATACACACCATATGTTCTTGGTTTAAGTCATAAATGTGACCCAGGGTCTCTGTTGTAATCTACCTCAGATGTCAAAAAGTGGGAGGTGGAGGGGAGAGAGTGAAAGAAGTGAAATGCAGAACAATCTAAACAAAAGAATCTCTGGGGGAACCCAATCAACCACTTCCGTCCTCCTACATCTTGTCTCCTTCTCCTCCTCCGCTCTTCCTATTTAATTTCATTTTCTGTCTCTTTGTCTTTCCATGCACCGTATCCCCCTCTCCTCCCCGGTGGAATGTATTGTATGAAAGTCCAGGGGCGCTGCTCCACAGGTCAGAGTGGAGGCTGTTCTCATAACCTGCTCCACTCCTAATCTTTCCCCCTTTTTTAATCATGTACCTCTTCTCTCTCTAGCCCGCTCTGCTCTGTAGTTTCCTCCACCTGTAACTCATGAATTTGAGTCAGTCTTGATTTCTATCTCTTACTTACGGTTGAAATTAATAGACTTTATCCCAATAAAAACTTACAGGTGTTTTATGGGTCTGAAAATATTAAAAAGTTAGGTCGAGTGCTGCGACACCACCAGCAGCAGCAGCACACACACACACATGCTAAACGATGATGACTGAGTGGGAGCTACCGGTTCATGTTTTGGATCAACTAAATTAATATCACACATCTGGAAGAAGACTCCTGCCGGCTCCACCCTCTGCTGTGCTGCGTTGGTGTGATTCCCAGTTTCCCTTTGTGCATGTGTAAAAGTGTGCGTGTGTGTACGCTGGTATAATGTTTCCAGTACTCCTCTCTTGGAACAGACCACCCACCCAGAAGACCAATAGAATGACCACGGGGAGCCCAGCTAGACACAAACATCTACGCACACACACACACATATGCAGCTCCCTCCAAAATCAACCCTTCCCAATATTCTCAGAATAGAACACGTTGTTATCAAAGATTGAAGAGATACTGCAACAACTGACACGCTGACACAAAGTTAAAGATAATATCAGAAATTGAGGAGGTTTTCATATTACGACGTTACGTTCATTTTTAAAAATGTTGCCTGAGGTGAACCGCTCAGCAGTTAGAAAATATTAGAAGGCTGAAATCGGATACCAGAGCCTCATCATGCCTGCTGATAGATGGTTCTCTATATGACAACCGCCACGGGGGACTTCGTGGGCCGTGCAGCCGAACACTGTAGGCCAAAGAAATTCCAAAAGTACCAGAACACTCCTCAATCTACAGGTGCATCCTGAGTCAAGACCCAAATTGCTCCTGGTAGTTTAGATGACACTTTGTGTGACACATTTCGGTAATCAGTGTTTATCTCTGTGTCACTATTATAGCTTTAGCATTTAAGTTAAGCCAAGATTGGCCTCAACTAAAGAGGAATTATTAACCGGGGGAAATGGCATTTTCTCTGGCCGTTCCCCTGAATTTTTGGTTTTGGTAGTTTTTGTATGATCTTGATAAGCAAACAGCACTTATGGTTGAAATATACCAACAGGACAAGGCCTCAAAGGTGGCTCTTATATTTTTACCTAAGTTTTGAGAGGGCCTTTGTGTCTAAATCTGATTTTACTCAAAATAAATACAATTGCATACTGATCAGTCATTACAACTGCTTTTGGTTGATAACTTTGGTTACTACCTGAGATTAAAAACAAAAAATATAATAAAAAATGGCAATGGGTTAATGTTTGAATTAAAATGAGATTATGCTGTTCTTATGTGCAAGACAGTTCCCAGTCTTGCATATAATGCAGTGATCATTCAGCTGCACAGAAATTCACGTTTGAGTCATGGGCTTAAAGCCCATACAGTCACAGCAAGGCAATGAAGAGTGAAGAAATTTTCAATATGGGGGAGGACAAAATTCACAGCGAAGATATGAACCTTATCTGAGGTTTCAGAGATTTTTGGACTAAATGTTCTCATTGTTATTTTTTCAGACAGTGCTCTCTGGAAACACATTATAGCAAATGAGAAAGGACTGGACCTCTATGTTGCAACCTTTCACATATCTTGAGGGAGTTTCAGGGATTCAGTTTTTTCTAATGCTGAGTGACAATTGCGTCGCTAGTTTAAAAAAAATAAAATAGCCACAACTGGGTGACAAGCATGGATGAAAAATTCACAAACTGCTACTCACAACTGAGAGCAAATGGTGTCATTGCTAGGACTGACACCAGAACTACTGACTGATTAAGAGAAAATAGCAACCCTAACATTTTTAATTAAAAAAAGCTTTGGACTGGAAAATGCAGTGAAAGTCATATTGACTGATTTTGACTGATTTTGAGGGAGCTCATTATCCCGTTGGATGGCTGATGATCAACAATGAATTTCTAACCCTTCAACAATCAAACAACAGATACAAGAGATTGGCAAACAGTAGCACGACTGAAATACACACATAGTTGTTGAAATTTAGTGACCTTACATTCTGAGAATGAAATAAGTGGACCACAAAAATACTATTATGAGTTTTAGCCGCTGTTCTGAAGGTTGAAGTCTTGTGTTATTTTGTCTTTTATTGACTTCATTTTTCAAGTTCACGCTTTTGTCACCGCCTCACTGAAACATAGCAGTGTTTCAAACAATCGGTTGTCAAGGAGTTTCAACACGACTTGACAGATGAC